AAATTTGCTAATATGTTGAATTTTTTCTACTCCAATTTGTAAAAATAAAAAATATACTTTTGTAGATTTTTCTGTTCATTTCTTAAATTATCCCGACTAACACCTGATCGAAGTCTTTTCAATTCATCATAAAGTCTAGTTGTTGCCTTTTTTTAGAAATTCTATTGCTAGACATTATTTCTATAAGTTTACATTCGAAGTTTTCACCATACTTGTACCACCATTTGATTATTTCTCTTTTGATTCTTAATTTTTTTATTTCTGCTTTACATGCACGATCATACAAGTGCAACAACATTTGTAGGCTTATTGTCTGCCCATTCTTACTCATTTCTTCCTCTATTTCCATCTCATTCTCTTCATCTGTTTCCACTTCGTCAATATCTGGATTTAAAATTTCGTTTATAAATTTTTGGACTTTTTGATCAATCCGAGTGTTTGCAGTTGTTTCACCATTACTCTCATTTTCAGCCTCATCATTTTCGTCCTCATGTTCATTTCCATTCTCACTCCCATCTTCATTTTCAACTTCATTTTCGCCTTCAACTTCGTTTTCGCCTTCAGAATTACCATTTCTTTCATAAGGTTCATTTACTTCATAATGTTCATTTTCTTCGTATTGCGAAGATAATACGTTGCGTCTATTTTTATCACATTCTATATTTTGTGCTTCAGTAGAGCTACTTGCTGAAACGTTTGATATTGTATTTCGTACATTTTCATTACGGCAAATAGGACAAATATTAGGGCGATAATCTTGCATATGATAACCAAAAATACAATCATAGTGAAAAATATGACGGCAGTTAAGTATAGTGATAGAATCAATTATGTTTGATGAAATGCTGTCTTGACAGATTATACATATATCGGAATTATTAGATTCGTTGTTGATGATTTTTTGTAAAAAAATTTTTAAGGCGAACATGGTGTTTTTTTTTTTTATCTTAATTATTTACATCGCTTTTTTTTTTAAATATATATATATATACCATAATAATATATGTAACTCTAACAATTATATAATAATCTAAGTATATAATACTGACCTGGATTTAATGAGATAAGCTCTAAAGGCAATTGTAATTTTGTATGTATGCCTAAGTAAATTTATAATGACCTACCATTTTTTATGTAATTATATATCAAATTTTAATAAGTTATCATTTCTTCGATCATCATGGACCATGTTCTATGATATCTCATGTGAGTTTCTTTTATTGTATCATGAACAAAGTTCATGATATCACATGGGAGTTTCTTCTATTGTATCGTGATCGAAGAATCCACCAGGGCGACCACAAAAATTTCGGGTCATGTGACCGAGATTTTTTTTAAATGATTGAACTTTTTTT